TCCTGCCATATTTACAATATATGTACAAATCCTGGCATTATGGAGAGTAATTTACTCCTGCCATATTTACAAGATTCTAATAATAATCAAAGATTATTTACATATTCTAATAAATACCAAGTTATTTGTTAGTTGACCCCTTAATTGATGACATGGAAATTGGGAGATAGGACTTTTTTTTAAAATTGTCTTTCAAGTTGTGCTAACTTGAGTATAATACTGAAAAGAACATTATCTTCACTGTAATTGAGAAAATGTAATTTGGGTTAAATTGGAGGAGATGGGAGAAAGGAATTCCACGGCATCCTCTTCACTTGATATCTTCTAAATATAATCTTCAGTTGTCATGACTAAAATGTATGTTTTTTTTATTTATTTCATTGCCCAAAATCTCGTAGATGTTTTGAAATTAGTCGCTTCTATTTAGAAGATGTTTAAAAGATTTTAGAGACCAATTTCAAGATGCTTAAAATCATGTGAGAAACTAATATAAAATATAAAAAATTGAGTGACTAATACAAAATAAAACCGATAAAATTCTTGGATGATTGGTTTCAGTATGTCATGATTTGGGCAATTATATTAAAACATGAGAGATACGTGGGAGTTTTATGGAAAAGAGCCTAACATATGATCAAATTTAAAGTTATGGAACTTTGGAAAATTATGAGATCAAAGAAACTTTAGAATATCAAAATTCAAAAAACATTAATAAATAAATAAATAAAAATAAATGCAAATTTCAAGATATTAAGGACAGTTTAACCCTTTCCAAAATGGACAAATTTTCAAAAGAGACCCATTTGTGAACTTAATCCCAAAAAACGACCTCATTCAAACATAATTACAAAAACCGACCTGGTTTCAGCCTTAGCGCTGAAACCAGGTCGGTTTTTGAATTTTTTTTTTGAACTATGAAACTTTACGGGAGTTGAACTCCCGTGAAGTTTAGTAGATCTGCTAAACTTCACGGGAGTTCAACTCCCGTGAAGTTTCATAGTTCTGAACTGAGTTGAGACATGATAGACACTCGAAGAGTGTCCGAAGAGGGGGTGAATACAATATCATCAAAACGTACAAAAGAATGTATGCAATGTCTTTGCATGACAATAAATGAAAAGAGAGTTGTCGACTTGCTGTAAGTGAACCAATAGTAGAAGCAAAAGTAGCAATCGATGGTACCATGCACGAGGGGCCTGTTTGAGACGCAATAAAAGGCGCCTTCTTAAAAGCATACATGACCGGTAGTATACGATGTCGGAGCCGGGCGGTTGGTGGTGCATGTATATTGTTTCTTCAAGATCACTATTCAAGAAAGCATTCTTGACGTCCATTTGATGAATGGACCAAGAACGTGATAGGGCAATGCTAAGTACAATACGAATAGTGGTGTCTTGACCACCGGACTGAAAGTTTCGTCACAATCAATGGCCAACTGTTGATTCCTGCCATTAACAACAAGTCGGGCTTTATGCCTCTCAAAATTTCCGTTAGCTTTCTTTTTGTGACGAAAAATCCACATACTAGAATAACATTGACACCATAAGGACGGGGCACCAACTCCCACGTCTTAGTTTTAATAAAGAGCATTAATTCATCCATCATGGCACTTTTCAATTCGGGTCGGACAATGCGGCAATTGGGTTACGGGGTAAGGGAGAAGGCGTAATCGTAGTACTCAAATTAAAATGGCGTTTGGTTTTACTATCCCATGTGTGCTCCGAGTGGCCATTCTTTGAGTAATGCGAGCTGCAATAGTTGGTTGGGGTGCAGGTGGGCTTGCCAGGCAGTTCCTTTGTTGGGCTGGGCCGTGTGAGGGAAATTGGCAAGGGAAGAGAGGGTGCCAACTGGATGGGTGACGAAGGGGAGGCCGACTGGGCCGTGTAGGAGGGGAGTTGGGGGTATTGTTTGGGCCTGACTGTGGTGAGGGAGCAGGCCTGTCCGGAGTCAACAGATTATTGGGAGATGAGACATTGGAGTTTGGGCCGGCAAGGGGGAGTTGGGTGGGGGAGTGATGGCAGCAGATTGAAGGTGACTGCTACTGGCGCCTGGTGATGGTGTTGGGCCTCTGTAGGAGTTGAGATTGGGTTAAATAGATGATGAATGATAGCAGGAGGTAAGCCATTGTCTAAAAATCATAGGTATGGCAAAGGGGTATGAACCTTAGCAAACGAAAATTGTGACTCATCGAAAATCACATGACGGGAATAAAGATTTTGTTACTTGACATATCGTAACATTTTGTAACGCGATGATTAGAGGGTATCCCAAAAAATACACAAGGTGTAGATCGAGCTTGAGCTTGTTGATGGAAGTGGATGGGAGGAGAGGATAACAAAGACACCCAAAAACCGAAGATGAGAGTAAGAAGGATCCCGTTTGTATAGAATTTTGGTGGGGAATGTTTGCTAAGGTTTTGGTCGGGAGAATATTATGACAGATATGTGGCCATTTTGTAAGGCATGTGCCAAAAGATGGCGGCATTAGAGGAATGAGCAAGAAGAGTACGGATAATGTTATTGATAGCCCGAATTTTTCTTTCGCGCCTTTCCATTTTGAGAGGAAGTATGGGGACACGAGAAGCGAAAAACCATTCCATTTTGTTCACAAAATAATTTAAAGGGGCATTATCATATTCTTTCCCATTGTCACATTGGAAACATTTAACTTCCCTTTCAAATTGAGTACGGGCATGTGCATGGAATTGTAAGAAAAGAAAGTGCACTTGGGATTTTTTGGAATAGGATAAGTCCAAAGGAAATTAGTGAAAATCAATCCAAAAACAAGACATAAATATGATAACCTGAGTACTCAAAACGGGTGATGTCCATAGATGCACTGTGACAATGTCAAATGGCATAGTAGTAAAAGAAGTGGAGAATAAAATGGTAACTTCACGTGTTTGCCCTAGAGGGCATGAAGGACAAACATAAGTACTAGAAATCTTTATTACAATCAACAAAATTATTCCCCTTAAGAGAGCTTAAAACATGTGATCGGCGGGATGCCCTAAACAGTTCATGCCATAAATGAGTAGATAAAGCAGCAAAGTGGACGGAAAATGAGCTTGAGTTTTGGTGGTGGTGAGTGGATATAAGTCCCCCGCGAAGCTATCACATCTCATAAGTGTTGTCCCCCCGTCTGTAGTTCCTTCACAGAAAAGCCAAATGGTCAAACTCAATAGAAACTGAATTATCGTTAGTGAATTTTCGAACGGAAATCAAGTTTTTAATGAGTTTAGAGCATGTAGGACATCGTTTAAGAGAGAGGTGGGTGAGGGAAGGTAACGAGGTACGACCAATGCACGAATTGAATAGTATTGCCATTACCAACAACAATATTTTCGTTGATTGCTCAAATTAAAATAAGACGAGAGGGTACCTTGTTTGAGAGTCATATGGGAGGTAGCACCGGTGTCCATATACCAACCGTCATCCGGTGGCGTAAGGGCAAGGGTATGCATCGCAGCCTGATGTCCGTTGGGTCATAGCCCATGGTAGAAGGGGCCTGTTGGCCGTGAAAGTCTGATGTGTCTGCTGTGGTTTTTGGCCTAAAATGCCTTGCTGAGATACTTGCTGCCTTGGCCCAACAGCACGGGCCCATGAAGTGTAGATATGGGCATGGGGGCATGCCCAAGCCTGTGCCAAGATGCCCAAGGGGGCGCTGCCATTGGTTCCACGCAGGCCAGCCCTGCTGTGGTGCTGGCTGTGATTGGTGCTGACGGGACCACCCCCGCGGTTGCCGCTGCACCTCCGCCTCCTCTGATACCATGTAAGAAGATATTCCTTGTCTATTCATTCTAGTAATTGTCAATATATACAAACTAGATGGCTGACATTATGGAAGAGTAATATGCTCCTGCCATATTTACAATATATGTACAAATCCTGGCATTATGGAGAGTAATTTACTCCTGCCATATTTACAGATTCTAATAATAATCAAAGATTATTTACATATTCTAATAAATACCAAGTTATTTGTTAGTTGACCCCTTAATTGATGACATGGAAATTGGAGATAGGACTTTTTTTAAAAATGTTTCAAGTTGTGCTAACTTGAGTATAATACTGAAAAGAACATTATCTTCACTGTAATTGAGAAAATGTAATTTGGGTTAAATTGGAGGAGTGGGAGAAAGGAATTCCACGCGCATCCTCTTCACTTGATATTTCTAAATATAATCTTCAGTTGTCATGACTAAATGTATGTTTTTTTTATTTATTTCATTGCCCAAAATCTCGTAGATGTTTTGAAATTAGTCGCTTCTATTTAGAAGATGTTTAAAAGATTTTAGAGACCAATTCAAGATGCTTAAAATCATGTGAGAAACTAATATAAAATATAAAAAAATTGAGTGACTAATACAAAATAAACCGATAAAATTCTTGGATGATTGTTTCAGTATGTCATGATTTGGGCAATTATATTAAAACATGAGAGATACGTGGGAGTTTTATGGAAAAGAGCCTAACATATGATCAAATTTAAAGTTTATGGAACTTTGGAAAATTATGAGATCAAAGAAACTTTAGAATATCAAAATAAAAACATTAATAAATAAATAAATAAAAATAAATGCAAATTTCAAGATATTAAGGACAGTTTAACCTTCCAAAATGGACAAATTTTCAAAACCGACCCATTTAGACTTTTATTCCCAAAAAACGTCCCCATTCAAAAAAAATTACAAAAAACGACCTGGTTTCAGCCTTAGCGCTGAAACCAGGTCGGTTTTTGAATTTTTTTTTTGAACTATGAAACTTTACGGGAGTTGAACTCCCGTGAAGTTTAGTAGATCTGCTAAACTTCACGGGAGTTCAACTCCCGTGAAGTTTCGGAAATTTTTTTTTTTAAAACCGACCTGGTTTCAGCACTGAGGCTGAAACCAGATCGAATTTTGTAATTATGTTTGAATGAGATCTTTTTTTGAGAATAAAAATCTAAATGGTTCTCTTTTGAAAATTTGTCCTTTCCAAAATTGTCTCCGTTATCAGCAGAGTTTCTGTTCCCAAGTTCCCAACCCAAAAAAAAAAAAGAGCAGAAAGGGCCCTTCCATAGCCACATCCCCCGAATAGTGGGATCAAATGGCAACTGCCACTTACCCCTCCCTCCTCCTCCCTCAACCCGCCATCCTCCCCTCGGTAACCTCACGCTTACTCTCACCGCGAAGGACCGTATCCATCAAACCCCCTTCTCTTCTTCCCTCTTTCTCTCGCCCCCTGCAACCCACCAGGATCAGAGTCCAAATCAGAGCTGCAAGAATTGAGTCCACTGGGGTCTCTTTAGGCTTCAGAGCTCCCCATTTTGAGGTTGGGTTTTGGCCATATTTGATCTTGAATTTTAATGGGTTTCTTGTGAATGCGATCTTTAATCAAAAATTTTTTTTGAGCAGCTTCCGGAGCCTTTGACGGGGAAAGTATGGACGCTGGATGAGTTCGAGTCCTATCCTGCTCTGTTGGTAAGATGCTTATGCGTTTGTTTGGTTGAAATCGGGGCTCAATTTTTTTTTTCGGCTGTGTTGTTTGGATTGTTCTACTTCTTTGTGATTTCGTGCGCATTCCTTTGAGCTGGCAGATTGCATATCTAGCGCTTCTCAGTTCAAGCATTTCTATGTCCAGTTATTATTGTAAGAACCGATTAATTCTTGAGTTCAGGAGTACTGTTATTTGTGCGCATCGTATCTGCGACTGTTCACTCTTTTGAACGGTGACAGATAGTCGACAGAAATTATGTCCTTGCTCCTTCACCCTATATATTCTAGATTCAAAAACTGAGTGATACTCAAAATATTATTGATGTAAGGTTCTCTGTTAGTAGATTTGTTTCATGTTCTGGGATTTATGGAAGTTCTAGAGGGCTTGTTGCTGGTCTAGGACTCTAGATGCAGTGTTAGCCGCAATGTGATGTGTTGAAAGAGTTGAGAAAATTCTGAAATTCACCTTATTAGAAACTGAGGGTTTTATGTACACGGTAATGGGCAACTAATCAGCCCAAGAAAATAGAAAACAAATCCTAGGAAATCAAAACAGCAACAGGGAAAGTCTCTTTAATTTGAGAATCCCTCTAAATAAGGAAACTAACTAAATTCTGGTATTGACTAATTTCCAGAATTAACTATATAACAAAAATAGAATAAAATCTACGTCTAACTCAATATACAATTCTACACTCCCCCTCAAGCCGGGTTGTATATGTTACACAAACCAAGCTTGGAGATTAATTCTTCATAGTTTGCTCGGGAAAGTGCATTGGTGAGGATGTCTATAATTTGTTGTCGTGAAGGAACGTAAAGTAGTTGAATGATGTCACCATTCACTTTTTCAAAGATGAAGTGTCGATCAATTTCAATGTGTTTTGTTCTGTCATGATGCATAGGATTCTTAGCAATGCTAATTACTGCTTGGCTGCTACTAAGCATTGTAACCGACCCATCTATTTCAACCTTGAGTTCTTTTAACACTCTTTGAATCCACATTCCTTCACAAATTCCAAGTGCAAGTGCACGATATTCAGATTCTGCACTACTTCGTGAGACTACATCTTGCTTTTTACTCCTCCATGTCACCAAATTCCCCCAAACAAATGTGCAATACCCAGTAGAAGATCTTCGATTTGTTAACTCTCCAGCCCAACTTACATCAGTGTAAACTTCAAGTTTTCGGCTTGATGATTTCATGAATATCAATCCATGTCCTGGGATTGTCTTCAAGTATCTTAGAATTCGATATACATCCTCCAAATGCTCTTCACAGGGATTGTTCATATGTTGGCTGACAATACTCACTGAGTAAGCAATATCCGGTCTAGTGTGTGATAGGTAAATTAGTTTTCCAACAAGTCTCTGATATCTTCCTTTATCAACTAGAACTTGATCTGCCTCTTTGTTGTTCCGTCTGTTAGAGTCCATGGGAGTGTCTGCAGGTTTGCATCCCAACATACATGTCTCAGTTAACAGGTCTAGTATGTACTTTCTCTGGGAGATGAAAATTCCCTCCTTGGATCGGGCTACCTCCATGCCTAGAAAGTATCTGAGGGTTCCCAGGTCTTTGATTTCAAACTCCCTTGCCAACATCTTCTTCAAGTTTATAATCTCCTCACTATCATCCCCAGTCAGTATTATATTATCAACATAAACAATTAGAATAGCTATCTTACCACCATCTGAGAATTTCATAAACATCGTGTGATGAGATTGGCACTGAGTGTAGCCATTATCTCGGACAGCCTTAGCAAACCTATCAAACTAGGCACGTGGAGACTGCTTTAGTCTATATAAAGATTTCTTTAATTTGCATACAAGCCTACAGTTGTTGGAATTCTCCATCCTAGGGGAAATCTGCAGGTACACTTCTTCTTTAATATCATCGTTCAAGAAAGCATTCTTAACATCTAGCAGATACAAAGGTCAATCTGAATTCACAGCTAGAGACAATAAAATTCGAACAGTGTTAAGTTTGGCATCTGGGGCAAAAGTTTCTTGGTAATCAATACTAAGACTGAGTGAACCCTTTTGCAACTAGTCTGGCTTTAAACCTCTTTACACTCCCATCTGCCTGGTATTTTATTGTAAATATCCATTTGCATCCAACTGGATTCTTCCCTTGAGGCAATTCTGTGAGAGTCCAGGTACCATTCCTTTCCAGTGCTCGAATTTCTTCTTCTACTGCACGCTTCCAGGCTGGATCATTGAGAGCTTCTTGGATAGTCTGGTGAATATGGACACTATCAAGCTTAGTAACAAAAGCTCTGTACGAGGGCGTTAGATTCCCATGAGCAACATATTTCTCAATTGGGTGAGTAGTACACCATCATACACCCTTCCTTTGAGCAATGGGCATATCAGAATCATCAACGAGTGGTGTAAGAATATCCATACCTTTATGAACTAAGGCATGTGAGTCCGGATCAGGTGCTTGAGAGTCCTGCGGCAATGTGTTAGCCTCTATTTGCTCAAAAGGTCTCCTTCTACTTGAGTAGACAATGAGTTCTTGAGAAGGTTGAGAATTGAGAACTGTGTTACAGATTGATTCAGACAATTGAGGATTTTTAGTTGTTTGAGATACTCTTTCGGATGAAGTAGGTGGTGATGGAAGAGGGACTGTTTGAATTGAGGGGAACACGGCTTGAGTATCTTGAAGGATGTCCCAAATTTCAAATTCTCTAGCATTCTCCCCTTGAATTTGTGATTTGGGATAGAACGGTTGAGTTCCAAAGAATGTAACGTCCATGGAGGTATAGACTCGATGAGTTTGAGGAGAATAACATTTGTAGCCCTTTTTATGTGAAGAGTAGCCAATAAAGATACATTTTAAGGACTTGGATCAAGTTTGGTACGATGATGAACATGGACGAAGGATGTGCAACCACTTTGAGAGGTAAATCGGAGGAAAAAGTTTTAAGGTGAGGGTACGTTTCAAGAAGGACATGTCTCGGAGTTTTGAATGCAAGGGTACGATTAGGCATTCGATTAACAAGATAAGTGGCAGTGAGAATAGCTTCTCCCCAAAATTGTTTTGGAACATGATTGGAAAACATAAAGGACCGAGTCAGTTCTAATAAATATTTGTTTTTCCTTTCGGCTACTCTATTTTGTTGTGGAGTGTTGACAAAAGAACTAATATGGACAATAGCATTTTGAGATAAATAGGAACTGAGAGTAGAATTAAAGTAATATTTGGCATTATCACTCTTAAATACCTTTATGTTGCTTTGGAATTGTGTGGGGATCATTGAGTGAAAGGCTTTGAATATTGAAGATGCCTCAGATTTTTCTCTCATTAGGTATGTCCAAGTGGTTCTAGAGTGGTTATCAATGAAGGTGATGAACCATCTAATTCCATTAACGTTCTTTACTCGAGAAGGCTCCCATATGTCACTATGAATAACAGAAAATGGGTGAGAAACATTATATTTGAGACTAGAAAAAATGTGGCGAGTATGTTTGGACAATTGGCAAATTTCACATTGAAACACACTAGGCCTTTTATTAGTAAATAGATGTGGAAACATCTTTTCAAGGTACATAAAATTAGGATGACCAAGGCGAAAATGCCATAACATAACTTGAGACTCTTTTGAATTTGAATTTGAAATAACAGAATTTGAATTGACTAAATTTGAAACTAAACCGACAGAGTTGAAATTGGACTGAAAACATGTTTGGAACGAAAAGAAGTTGAGCTCTCTTGAAACAAATATAGGCCACCACATTGTCTATCACTACCAATCACCTTCCCCGAATTCACCTCCTGAAATTCACAAAAATTTGAATAAAACTTAGCAACACACTTTAGATCACGAGTTAATTTGCCAGTGGAAATCAAATTGCAGTCTAATTTTGGCACAAATAAAACAGTGGAGAGAACAATGTCTTTTGACAATCTAATGGATCCTTTTCCTACCACTACTGAGGAGCTGCCATCAGCAATTCGGACTGCAGACTGAGAGGTGCACGGGCTGTAGCTTTGAAAAGCAATGAGATCACCTGTCATGTGGTCAGAAGCACCAGAATCGATAATCCAAAGTTTATTTTTCTTGTTAAAGTATAGACAGCGTGTGGTATACCTTGGTGAGCTAAAAAACTAGTGGATTGCTCTGTTGGTGTTGCGGTGGGACCCTTAGAAGATGGCTGCACTATAGTAGAGGAGATTGTGCCCAGGATCTGGTGCAGTGCTTCAAGCTGCTCCTTGGTCAAAGGGCTGGAATCGGTACTGTTGACTGTAGAGGAGGTCTGAACAACATTAGCATGGCTGAAATTTTTAGACCTGTGGGTTGACTTCCAATCTTGAGGCTTTTCGTGCAGTTTCCAGCATGTGTCTTTTGCATATCTAACTCTTCTCCAGTGCACACACCATGGACGGCCGCCCTTCTTGAATTTGTCATCTTGGGATGAGTTGTGAGTAAGGAGAGCAGACCTTTTAGCATGTAGGGATGGATGAATCTCTGGAAGCATTAATTGTTTTCTGCTTTCTTCTCTACGAACCTCAGCGAAAGCTTTACGGATGGTGGGAAACGGCTTGCTGCCCATGATTCTTCCCCTTACATCATCAAGATTATTGTTAAGACTAAGAAGGAATCGCAAGGTCCTTTTTTGATTGATGATTGTTCGCTATAGTGCAGAGTCATCGGAGCACTTCCATGAGTATACTTCATACATGTCAAGCTGCAACTAGAAACGAGTAAGCATGTTAAAGTATTGAGTTACACTGAGATCACCTTGATGAAGATTATACAGCTTTGTTTCAATGTCAAATAAAGCAGAGGTGTTTTCAGTGCTTGAATAGTGTCCCATGCGGCTTCCCAGATGTCCTTTGCGGTTTTGAAGAGCAAGAAATTCTCGCTAACTTCTATGGTCATGGAATTGATAAGCTAAGATATCACCAAATGATCATCTGTTTTCCACGCCAGGTACTGAGGATTGGTGATTTTAGGAGCAATAATTTCTCCAGTAAGATGCCCATCTTTCCCTCTACCACACACGGACATGAACACTGATTAAGACTACTGAAGGAAATTATGACCCTTCAATTTGTGGTTGGTAACCACTGCTGAGGAGGAATCAACCACCATGGGACTAAGGGCAGAAGGATCGGCTCTGGATGTGACTTCCGATGAAGTAAAGGAAGGATGAGAGGCCATGCCGTATTTGGTCATGAAGAAAAAAATTACAGAAAAACTGCTGGACTGGATTACAGAGAACGGCACGGAAAGAAAAAATTAGGGTTTAGAACCTAACTGCTCTGATACTATGTAGAAAGAGTTGAGAAAATTTTAAAATTCACCTTATTAGAAACTGAGGGTTCTTGCCCCTTATGTACATAGTAATGGGCAACTAATCAGCCCAAGAAAATAGGAAACAAATCCTAAGAAATCAAAACAGCAACCGGGAAAGTCTTTTTAATTTGAGAATCCCACTAAACAAGGAAACTAACTAAATTCTGGTATTGACTAATTTCCAAAATTAACTATATAATAAAAATAGAATAAAATCTACGTCTAACTCAATACTAGTATTTTAACCCGTGCAAAGCACGGTTTCTAAAAAAATTTATGCAAATATTGAACATGTTACCAAAATAAAGTTTTCTGCTTTACATATGATCTAGTATTCATCCCGTGCTAAGCACGACATCCTCCTGAAAGTCATGCTTAAATAAGAAGCAAGAAGTTCTAAGTTGCAAATGAGTAGAACATCAAGATAGATCCGCTTCTCCATCTAGATCTTGTTAACAGTAACTGTTCAAATGATTATAAAACCACCTTTACTCTTTCCGCTGAAAAAAAGAACACAAATCAGAATAAAGTAAAATGTTTTCAAGATGAAAAAAATGCAAGATCAAAAGCTTTACTTTGATTTCAGGGGAAGGTAACTTCCATTTTGATCTGCATCAGAATACAGTCAATTTAGTAAAGGAAACCAATATGTCACAATTAAATATGATAGCTAAGTTGCTATTTGTTCTTCACACTCAGAGGGTAAAAAAAAACAGAGAAAGCTAGCACATCATAAGCATAATTTAAATGTGAAGATGAATGAACAACCTTCATCTCATGTAACAGGAAAGCACCAGTTTATCTATGCACCAGTATTGTATATTAGAGTATTTTGTCAAGACATGATTGCCTTCTGTCTCTTATAATTGTTGTAGCTGCGAAGGAAACTATTCTTCGCTACCGACAGCGGCAGAGGAGGCGACGATGGTGGCGAAGCAGAGGAGGCGAAGGATGCCATTGAAGATGAAGGAGGAGTTGATTTTGCTCTTGATTGCTTCTCAGATTTGGTTGTAATCAACAAAATAACTAAACCCACTATTGAAGATGAAGAAGGATGCTATTGAATCTTTTTCTGAAGATTGAGAGAGGAAGAGAGAATCGTAGGTTGTAAAAAGGGAAAAAAACAACAAATATTCTGCAAATGCATCAATCTACAATGTCTGCAAATATAATTAGTTTTGGGTAATTTTAATCTCTGCAAATGCATCAATCTACAATATAATCTGCAAATATAATTAGTTTTGGGTAATCTTTGTCTGCAAATGCATCAATCTACAATGCTTCAATCAACCACCCCTAAAATAAATCCAATATTCTGACTTTTTTTAAAAAATATTAAATAATTAAGAGAAAATTCATCTCCAACTCAAAAAATTTGATCGCATAGAAACTAATTCAACGTCAGACCCTAAAAAAACAAATTTAAAAAACTAAATAGAACAATATGATAAAACGAAAAAAACAACTCACCTCCATCCCATGGAGTATCATCAGGCCTGCAAATCAAAACCCAAAGTTCATCAGAAAACCCTAAAAATCTAAAATCAAACCAAGGATTCGACATCAAATGTAAAATTACCTAGAGATCACGACGTTCCACAACATGATGTTGTTATCCTGCGTGGCTCCACTGATTGCCGCCGGCGGATCATTCTGCAACCTCTTGAAATCCCTCATCAGCCTTTTCCTCACTGGTGTCGACATCGATTCAAGCCTAAACGATTGAAGTAGGCACCGTCCAACATTCTGATGTTCGTCGCCTAAAAATTTTCGATGTTCCGGTTAAATGAGGGAGCGGAAGCGGGGGGTGAAGAGAGGGAGGGGGGGTGAGAGAGATTGAGAGAGAGAGAGAATGTGGGTGGTATGAAGTGGGGATGTGGGTGGTTTTGGTTCTGAAACGTGGGGAGTTTGGACGGTTGCGGTGAATTAACTCAACAATGGACGGTTGTGGATAATTGAGGGGAAAATACGTGGAAAATTAGATAATTTACTGTTCATTTTAGCTTTTTTGTTGTTCTCCTTTAGTAATAAAGAAGTAGATACAATTCTACATGATGTTTCTTTGTTGATGGAAATTTTCAGGATCCATGTTTTGTTATGTAGCTCCGTATAGAAACAAGATAGAGTTCTCCAGAGTTTTCTATTAAAAAAAAGGCAAAGCAAAGAAGAATATTTCTAGAAATTAGATATATGAGATGTCAAAAAATGTAAGTAACCAACGAAGTCATAAGCGCCCACATGTGTGCACTATATGCACAACATAGACGCACACACATGTACAATGCACACTATGCACGACATAGGCACGCACACGCATACACGTGCGCGCGTGCCTATATACATATATAGACACAGACACACACACACATATAGGTAGTGCATGTGTGTGTGCATATATAAATATATAGACACATGCGTGCGTGCCTATATACGCATATAGACACACACACATGGATAGCTTGTATTTGCGCGTGCGCACATATATAAATACACACACATAAATATACACAGTACATATATACAATACATAACAAGATACATATTTACATATACACATGTACATATCCACATATGTATAGGTGTGTCTGTGTGTGTGCGCGCACACAAACACACGCACATATATAATTGTGGTAAACTTTATTGTTATATATCCCAGATCGGGTTTTCTAAGTAAAATTAGAAATCTCCACAAATCAGTTAAACTCACTGAAGAGAATAATAACACTATGTCATGAAATTTATATCATTTTATAAAGAATGTAAATAGGTATGTGTTATGATGGACAATTTTGGAAGAAAAAATAACCATGGCTTTGTGTTGTCAAGTTAGTAATTCATGTTATGAGTGCTTTACACCCTTTTATTGTTCTGGAGTAGTTATGCTGTATAGTAGGTAGTTTATTGTAGGTTTTACTAGGAGTAAGATCTGATTGTCTTGACATCTTTTAGTTTGTTATTTAGGAAGACTGCCATCTGAAGTAATTGAAAACATATTCTTTTTTATTTAATTATTATTATTATAAAAGCATATAATTTTCTGTTTGTAATTCAGTTATAAATTATCTAGTGACAAGTACCATTCACTGTTGTGGTATTGTTTCTAAACATTTCTTCTCATTTGGCAGGTAATGTTCATTTGCAATCATTGCCCTTTTGTTATACACTTGAAAAGAGATATTGTGAAGCTTGCTAATTTCTATATGTCGGTAGGTGAATCCCGACAGTAAACCATTATTTACTGAGAATAATTTTCTGATGCTGATTCCTGGTTGTGCTGCAGAAAGGGCTTGCGGTTGTTGCGATTTCTTCAAATTCTTCAATCACACACCCACAGGTTGCTGTTACTTATCCCCAATTTTTTATACCTAGATGGTTTATGATACTTTTCCATCATATATATTGTAGCATAATTAACAATCGATATATCATCCAAAAGAAAGATAGAATGGAAGATATTTCTAGCTAAAACAGTTCTTATTCATGATCATGGTATGCATCTTTCTAGTTGGTGGCATTTAAAACATCTTAAAAGTATTTTGTCTTCGTTCGTTGTACATGTAACCATAAATAAACAAGAATATCTATTTTGATACTTTTTGCACTTTAAAGGCACAGTAGCATTTGATTCCTCTTTCCTCGTGTTCTTAAAGATTTGAAAGTTCATGGATTTTAGATGATGTATACAATGTTCATATTCATTAGGCTTTCTTAGCCTAGATTTGTGTATCATCCATATACTCAAAAGTGTTTCATACTTTCGTGCAGGATGGACCACAGTTCATGGCTGAAGAAGCTAAGTTGCTTAAGTACCCTTTTCCGTACCTATATGATGAGGTAAGCCTATGCTGGAAACTTAACTACACTTTTCAGCTCATTCCCACACAACTTTAAAGGCAGTGGTGATACAGCTAGTACACATGTCGGAACCTTGTTTATGAAAGTCAATACTTTAACTTAGTATATCTGCCTGCAAAAGAGTGTTGCATAATTTATTTATGCAACTTAATCATTCTAGATGAGACTTGGGCAGAAATGCTTGCTTGAGGCTATTGTAAGCTTCTGTATTATATCAATGACAGTTTAGCTAGTTGCTTATATTCAGTATAGTCTTGCAAGTGGATGCGACTTGGTAGAAAGAAATAAACTAAAATGAAAAGAGAAGAAATTGTTGAGATGTTTTGACATTTTCATCCAGATTAAAAATTTTCTAAAATCAAATACTATTTTATATCGACTCCAATAGCTATGTTCTAATATCAAAGACAATTTTCCTTACAAATGGAATATTGTCCATCATTGTCTTGTATCTTTCTATACTAATTACCAAGTTAAGAAAGATGACACGCAGTGTTCTTGTCAATTTATATATCTTCAATACACTTTGAACCTAAACCTTGACCCAGACATATGAAATGTTTATCTTTTTATTGCTGAGCTTTCATGTGCTCAACAAATTAGTTGTATGCATTTCAATAATTTATATAAACATATCCATAAACAAAGTGCAAATACCACCTACTAAACTATTTTTGGTTCCAACTTTATTTTGTAGTTCAATTGTTCGAATAAGAAGTAACCATCCCTAATGTTGTGTATTTTGATGTCAATCTCTCCATACTGTTTTAGACTAGTTCCTGGCATTTCAGATGTGTGGTTAGGGATTTGGATCCAACATTATTTAAGGCATCTATGAAATTGCAAAAATCCATAAGCCCATCTTTCCTATGCCGGTAATTAGTATATCAATATACAAGTGATGATGGCGGATATACAATGGACAATGAAAATTGCTCCAACTTCAATATAGTTTCTAGTGATATGCATATATAAAGATGGAAAAACAAGAGCATATTGATGTAGAGTGCGTTGTTGATGCATTTATGGAGAAACTGGATCATTAGAAGCTCAAACGGGGGCGAAGAGATTAAATTGTAACGAAGAATGGGTCGTACCTCCTAAATCGTGCATGAGAATTGGATGAATAATATATATAAAAATCACGTGCTTTTTTCGAGATGGAGCCAACCAAACCACCATTGTTTAGTTTGTCTCTTCCTGTTTGGCAAAATTCCCATCGGATTAGGAGATTAGAGTTTTTGTCAATTTTTTACTATTCTGGATAATATTTTAGGAGTCTATTTTAATTAGAAAATAAAGCCGGTTCGACTTGAGGGTGGAGCGTCTGTTTGGTGGTAATCAATATGCATGAATCGATCCCATCAATAGAAGTTGAAAGTTGACAAGTGGGAGAAGATGAGCTGAAAGCTCGTTTCCTGTCTAAAATTGTAAACAATGTTGAAGAACAGGTAATGATTACACACAAGAGTTTTACCAGCTATCATCCTGCAACTATTTGAATGAGAACAATGCCTAACAGATGTCTCATTATATCGGAGTATTGAGGATGGCGATTCAGGACTATGTATCTTTGCAATAGACATATACTTGGCAGATACAATTTTCCTATCCGAAATGGTAGAGTGACAACTTGGATGGAATAGTCGAGGATCATGGACAGCTTCAAAGGGTTCGCGCATGAATTATAATCGTGGAGAACAACCCGTCCCAATCTACTAATGATCAAGATTTTGCAACTGAGAAGAGTACAGGACCAGTGACGATAGTTTCAAACCAGGAAATCCTTATGCCAAACTAGATCCAATCAAGTATTACAGATGCAGTCTACTGGGTTATTGATCCAATCAGTGCTTTAAAAGAAATATTGTGAACATGGTGGACTGTGGTGAGGAGGATGCAGTCCAAGACGACGCTGAAGACTATGACGATGAGGTTAAATATTCTGATGATGCGGATCAACTTTCGTGTATTGTGTAGCCATTATTACTGGCTCTAAAGACAGAAGAACCGCCTCAGAAAATGTAATATCTTCTGTATGAGGTACACCGTGATGCAAAAGACTTGTGATATGATGGATAGTGATAGTAGTGAGAATATTATCTCTTGGTATATAGTGGAGAAATTATGCTTGAAGACAGAAACACCACACTCCTACATGATCGGTTGGATTCACGAGGGTAGTGACGTGCAGGTTGATGAGGTGTGTCGGGTGTCTTTTTCAATTAGCTGTAACCATGTTGATGAGGTGTTGTGTAATATGGTTGAGATGTATACGTGTCATATGCTTTTAGGTAGGCCATGACAGTTCGATGATGATGTCATGCATAAGGGAAAAGATAATGTTAATATCTTTTAGCAGGATAGGCATCACGTTGTACGCATGCCTTTCGCAGAAAAGAGACGAGCCAAGATAGATGTTGCTAAAAAGAAGACCCTTTTGGTTGTTGATAATGATGCTTTTACAAAAGATTTGAAGCAATCGAAGAGATGTATGCTCTTATTGTATTAGGAAAAGAGGATTTTGCCTCCACTGAAATTCCAATTAAGGTGTCGACCCTCTTGCATAAGTTTGATGTAGTCATACCAAAAGAACTTCTTGTCGAGTTACTAATGCCTAGAGACGTCCACCATCAGATTGACTTTATCTCTTGCTCACGCTTGTCGAACCTGCCATATTATCGAATGAGCCTAAAGAAAGGGGTGATCTTGTAGTAACAAGTGGAGGACCTCATCTAGAAAGGTCTTGTACGAGTGAGCATGAGTCTGTGTCGTGCCGACATTACTTGTCCCAAAGAACGGAGAGTGGCTCTTGTGTGTGGATAGTAGGGCTATCAACATGGTTATCATGAAATATCGATTTTCCATTCCTCAATAGGAAGACATGTTTGATATGTTGTTAGGATTAAAAGTGTTATCCAAAATTGATCTCAGGAGTGGATATCACTAAATTCGCGTCGGAGAAGATGAGTGGAAAACTGCTTTAAAGACAAAAGAAGGCTTATGTGAGTGGTTGGTCATGCATTTTGGCATTTCCAATGCTCCTATCACTTTCATGCAGTTGATGAATCAGGTATTGAAATCCTTTATTGGCAAGTTTATTGTAATTTATTTTCGATAATATCCTGATTTATAGCTAGAATGTGTCCGTGAATATGGACCACTTGAGGGAGGTATTAACGACTTTGCAAGGGAACAAGCTTGCATGAATCTGAAGAAATACAACTTCATGATTAGTAGCCTATTATTCTTGGACTTTATATTTAGATGCGAAAGGCATCCATGTTGATGAGGAGGTGCGTACTATTTGAGATTGGCCCTAGTTGAAAACTGTCAGCGAAGTTCGTAGCTTTCATGGTCTAGCCACCTTCTACAAGATGTTTATGATAAACTTCAGCAACATCCTTGCGCCCATTATCAAGTGCATGAAGAAAGAAAATTTTAATTGGAGGAAGATGTAGATAGTAGCTTTGCACTCATTAAGAAGTTATCCACAACATCAATGCTTTCCCTTCTAGATTTCTAAAATGTGTTTGAGCTCGATTGAGACACATCCATCATAGGTATTGGTGGTGTTCTCTTCTAAGAAGGTTGTCCGGCTGCTTTTTACAATGAGAAACTTAATGAAACTCAGCAGAAGTGGACCACATACGAGCCAGAGTTGTATGCCATAGTCCAGTCCTTGAAGCATTAAGTACACTACTTGATCTTGCGGGAATTTTCTCTCAACACAGACGTTTAATCTTTAAGGTCCATCAACATTCAGACTACCATCAATCATATGCATGCTTGATGGATAGCGTTTCTGTAGCGTTTAACCTTTATTTTGAAGCACAAATCTGGGCAGCAAAATAAGATTGCAGATGCACTCAGTCAAAGAGCTTCTTTGTTAGTGACTTTGCAAGCTGAGGTGATTGGATTTAAATACTTGAAGGAGCTCTATGTAGAAGACAAAGATTTCAAGGAGGCTTCAAGCAACTGTCTAAAGAATCAACTGGCCAGAGATTTTCGTATCTAGGATGGTTATTTATTTTGCGAAGATTAGTTATGCATATCCCAAAGCTCATTAAGTGAGCAGATCATAAAAGACTTTCATGGTGGCAGGTTAGGTGGACATCTAGGTGTGACAAGACAATTACTTCCATTGAGGAGAGATACTACTAATCTCAACTAAAGGAGATAGAAAAACAAGTGTGGCGTTGTCCAATTTATCAAATTGCTATAGGACAGTCTTAAAATATATGATTATGCACATCCTTAGTTGTTCCTAATACATCATGACATGATATATCGATGGACTTTGTATTGGTGCTCCCTACAACCTAAAGAGGTATGGATTCTGTTTTTGTTATGGTTGACAAATTGTTGAAGATGGCACAATTCATTCCATGCAAGAAGATAGTAGATGCTAGCACCATTGGTAACCTTTTCTTTCGAGAGATAGTACGCCTTCATGGAGTACCAAAGTCCATCATATTTAATCGTGACTCAAAGTTCTTGTCCCACTTCCGGAAGACGTAGTAGCGATTCAATACTTCACTCAAATTCTGTTCTTATTACCCTCAGTCGGACGGCCAGAGTGAAGTGGTAAATCGTACTCTTGGTAATCAAGATTATCGATAGCGGATAGCGTCGCGTAGCGGTGAGACATCGCTAAGACTATTTCGGGCTATTGCGCTAAAATAGCGGTAAAAAGCGTAGAGTCAAATAGCGATCTAATTTAGATATGTATAAATACTAAAAAAATCTAAGAAATTTAAAAGTACATATTGGATGATTTAAAGAGATCCTAAACATAAAATAGATATGTAACCATCACGTAATACCGAAGATGACTGGTGTAGAAAAGATTAGATTTAGTTTCTGTTTTAGAAGAGATTAGATTTAGATTCTGTTTTAGAAAAGATTTGATTTAATTTTTGTTTTTCAGTTTTAGTTAGGATCCCTTATTTGAAGGAATTCTGTTTTCTTATTTGGTG